GGTTGGTTGGTGGGTTGGTTGGTTGGTTGGTTGGTTGGTTGGTTGGTTAGCTGGTTGGTTGGCTGGTTGGTTGGTTTGTTTGTTTGCTTGCTTGTTTGCTTTCGCTTCCTTCCTTGCTTGCTCGCTTGCTTGCTTGCGTGTTTGCTTGTGTGTGTGTGTGTGTGTGTGGGTGTGTAGGTGTTTGTTTGTCTGTTTTTTGTTGTCTGATTGCCTGCTTGCTTGGTTGATTGTTTGCTTGTGTGTGTGTGTGTTTGTTGGTTCGTTCGTTTGTTTGTTTGGTTGTTTGTTTGTTTGTTTGTATGTTTGTTTGTTTGTGTTTGTGCTTGTGCTGTCTTGTCTTATGTGTGTGTGTGTGTGGTTGTGTTTTTGTTTGTTTGTTTATGTTTTGTTTATTTGCCTGTTTGTTCATTGGCTTCATGGTTTATTTCTGATGTTTATTTTCTTGTGCATTTTGTTGTTCGTTGTTTCTGTGTTTTATGTTTTGTGTTGTCGTTGCTCGTTTTTGTTTTTGTGTTTGCGTTAGGTCTTGTTTTGGGCAAGCCAATAAACCCTGCCAGCGCAAGAGTAGTGAGTAGTGCCACAAGTTGCGACTGTTGCAGGGACGACCCTAAACCCCTAAACCCCTAAACCCTAGACCTTTGTATTCCTGGGGTGGCTTGCCCAGCAGTGACGGATAAAGCCCTCGGCCTTAGGGTCCGGCTTCATACCAAAGTCACCAACTCCATAGGCTCCGCGAATTGGTTTAGTCCAACTACACAGCCGGAAATCCTGCACATCCCCTGCACCCAAAATTGTATAATCCTATTCGCTCGCAGATTCTGGAGCACCAGGGGAAACTATTGCCCTTGAGTGTGAAAGCTTCAAGCTTTTAATTTTAGTTGTAACATGCCACATCCAGAATCCCAACCCGTCAGGGGAAGCACATTGCGGGGGAATAGCAATGGTCCGGGCCCCTGCACTTGCACAGATTACAATCTGGCATGGTCTGGGCTTAGGAATATTTAGGATTCAGAGCCCTCAACGCGAAGCCTCAAATTACACCCTATCCCCTAAACCCTAAACCCTAAACCCTAAAGCCCTAAATCTCAAACCATGTTGTTTGGGTTTGCCGGCTTCGCCTCACATCGTGGAGCCGTTCGGTAGCTCGTGTTCATGGTTGTCGACCTGAGGTTTAGAGTTTAGGGTTTAGGGGTTTAGGGTTTAGGGTTTAGGGGTTTAGGGTTTAGGGTTTAGGGGTTTAGGGTTTAGGGTTCAGGGGTTTAGAATTTAGGGTTTAGCGTTTAGGGCTTAAAGCTGCTGGGCTGAAATGGGGCGAAAAGTAGTTTGTCGACTCAGCCATTGGTCCTTTGCCCAACAAGCTGAACTGAAAATGCACCTGTTGTTCCGAAGCGAACTGCGGCTGGGCTCAGAAGGACTCCGTACCAGGGTTTGGGCTTTCGGCTTAGGGTTGATATTTTTTGGCCTGTTGGATTTTGTTCGGGGCTTGCGTGAGTTAAAAGTTCGAGTCTAGGTTTGCAGCATTAGGAGTGGCCAACTGGATAACCGTGGAACATGTCCAGTTTAGAAGGATGTTCCCTCCTTTTGTGGGGAAGCAACGGTATAAGCTGGGGCGGTTGTCAAATAGAGCGTAAAGGTTCAACCCACATAGGCCTATAGTATTCCTTAAGGTCCCCAGCGTTCCTAATTTTTCATCAGACAAGAGTATACACCGCCCCAAACCCTATTCCAATTATCACGAACCCTACTTTCACCGAAGTCTTCCAAAACCCGAAACCGTTATTGCCAAAGCCTTCAAACCCGAAAGGCGTGGCCCTTAACGCCCAATGCAGCAATGTCAACCAAGCTTTAAATGCTTTAAAAACAACATGTTCAACAGCCTTCAACTTTCGTCATATCTTTCATCAAGAACTCGCGAGCCGGACACGCCGGAAGATTTAGCGTTTACCGTGGCTATGTGATTGCTCGGCTCAGTTCAGGATTTGGGCTTGGGGTGGCCCTCAAGCGACCTTCTGCTTATGCGGGCTTCGGTTTGGGGTTTGTCTGGAAACCACTCATAATCCATTCGTTCCAGCTTTCCTAGAATTTGTAACTTAGGGTAAATTAGGGTGTATATATATATATAGATACACATAGAATGGTGTGAACAAAGACACGCCGCATGGCTGTTCAGAGCAGCGCATTCAAATGTATCCACTTCACTACACCCCGCAGACTACTTGGCCAAGGTGCTTGAGCCAGTGACTTGTGCGTTCGCCTTCACCCTTCCGACAAATCCGTCAGAAACTGACCTTTACAAACCGCCTATAGCCCCCTTTCAAACCCTCAAGATGTGCGTAAGATTCTGCACGAACTCCTTCTGCTTGCAGCCGGGGTTGCAGCAGTCGCATCCTGTGGGGATTCAATGCGAGCTTCGAGTACTGGTGTGCAAGCTTTGTGGATTCTTTGCCTTCTGTTGTAGACCCCGCAGAGGGTATGGTAGCTGAAGCCAGATCCTAAATCTTAGACTAGACCCGATTAGACCCTCCATCTTGAACTCCAAATCCCAATCCAACTTAAACAGGGCTAAATGGGGATCCTAAACACCCCAAACCCCAAGCACTGAACATATGTAGATGGTGTTTAGGTTTCGCACGGTCGATCAAAAACCGATACCCAAAAAGCTAAGCGGATCCCAGATTCCGAAAAGACTCCACACCGCCCTTAATATTGGCAGTTTAGGTTTCGGGGTTTAGGAGTTTAGGAGCTTAGGCTTTGGGGTGTGTTTGGGGCTTCAAAGCCTCAGGTACGCCCTGCTTGCTTGCCAAGATCAGCTCAGAGCCTTCGCCCATGCTTTTGCCACATACTTGATTACAGAGCCATACAGAGCCCTAAGGGTCCATGTACCCAAATAGTGTATACTTTGGCTTTAATGTAATCCCTATATAGGTACTTAGGGGCCAATGCATATACTATTTGGGTACATGAACCCTTCGGGGAGTGTTGTTGTCGACCCTAATCGGTGATTCCTTTCTGGCGTACAACCCAAAGAAAGGACCAAGGCTTGCATCGTGCCTGGCAGAGGTGAAGCTACTAGCAAAGGTTGCAGCACTTTGCAGTGGAGCCCAAACCGCCGCGGTTTGGAGCACTTAACATCAATCCCGGACCTTATAAACGCTACGGTTTTTTGCCTCAGACATTGTTTCATGATTCATATTGTAACCAGGTAGGGTTTGGCATATAGGGTCAGAATACCTAGCGATAAAATCCCTAGTGGTAGAATATACCCGAAAACCAATCGAATCACTAAGGCCACTACATGAAACTTTCATAATCAGCATTGTCGTATCTCTTTGAGAACCATTTAAAGATCCTTTAAAGGGGCCCTCGTCTAATCCTTGAGGCACCTCGATTCGGGGGAACCCTGCGGGTGACGTAGGTTTGCATCGCCAAGTTTTCGCCAGCACCGGCACCGTACAATTTGTGGTTGGAGGGTTTAGAGATGTCTAATGCAGGGGCTCTGAAAAGTTTAACGCAGTGTTATTAGTTGTGTAACAAAGAACCCAAAGAGGCTAAAAATATTTGTGGAATAAGGAGCCTAGACAAAACAACAGTTTTTTGCGGATACATTTCCCAAAGGGTCCAAGTAGCAATATGGTAGCTACTTTGTAGGTTTTTGGGCCCCCAAAGTATATACTATACTATAACTTGGACCCTTTGGGTTTTGCTAGACCCTAAACCCTAAACCCTAAACCCATGTGTTTGATTTCTCAGGCTTTCAGCCTCCTCTGCGTGTCGACCGTGGGTTCCGGGTCAGGGACCTTTTTTAGCCCCAAATTAGGGTTTAGGGTATTACAGGGTTTAGGGTTTAGGGTTTAGGGTTTTTTAGGTCATGCATTTTCACAAAAGACAACACAAATTATCCCGGAACTCCAGGCTACGCTATACCATTATACATCCATAGACATTACTTAGTATAGGGCTTTTAGCATACTCCTGATAAAGATTTTGCAAATAATTGCAAGGGCGTTGTAGCATGTCGAACATGGTGAAATCGATTATTTGGATTAGCCTCAGAGTAAACTATACGAGTTTGCTTAAGATGCTAAACGATTACTGTTAAGACTAGTTAATTCAAAAACCCTAAACCCTAAACCATATTGAGACTAGTTAACTCAGAACCCTAAACCCTAAACCCTAAATCCTGAACCCTAAACCCTAAACCCTGAACCCTGAACCTCTGCATTGTCCGAAACCTGTACCCTTTGCTTCTGCCTCTGTGTGAGGGGAAGGCGTGTTTCGCGCAGGAAAACTGGATGGCAGCACGGGCTCATGCGGCTT